CTTTGGAATATAACTCAATAAAAATCTCAATTTTGGTTAAAAACTTTCAAAGCATGGTTTTGCTGTGTACCAACCCAAATGAAAAAAGCACGGGTTGTCACATAAGACCCGTGCAATAAGTTACTCGTTATTTTCTCTTATACGGACTTTTCAAGGTTTATACGTAAACAATTGTCTTTATAAATGTACACATTAAATTTTCTTTACTACGGTCCTGAGGGTTTCTCAGTACTTTCATAGAAAAATAAAGCAACGATACTTTTCAGTTCATCGATAATTATTACTATCTTTATTATTATACCTAATATAAGAAAAAATAAGATATCATGCTTGTTTTATAATACATAACGCAAAATAACTAATATATTTTGAATTTAAAAAAAACAAATTTCTTTTTTTAGACACAATAAATAGAACCGATATAGTAATAAAAGACTGGAGATAGAAATCCGAATGATTTTGAAGATTGCATTTTCGTTTGACTTAGCTGGTAGAATTCGAATTTTTCAGCTTCATTCTCGTTTATCCACGCAACCTTTGCAAGGAATAAGTTCAAATTTGGCCTATAAATAAATAGAAGCTTATTTATATCGACCCTTTAATATGCAACAGCAGTAAGTTGAGACATAAATGGCGCTATAATCCAGTCAGTCAATATCACAAAATTGAACAAGGTTATAATTATTATCATTTAAAACTCACCAGTAATATATTCCTTGAATTCTGGGCCCAATGGACCGGATGGAAATGCGTAGATTATATTGTTTATATTACCATCTAGAAAAAAACATTTCAAGCATTTCAGAATTTAGATTAGATTTAAATCAAATGAATTAAACGAATAAACAAAAGGACATACGTTGATCATAACGAATTGGTAAATTTTCATTATGTCGCCAGTCTCCATCAACCACAAATTTAAATTCATGCTGTTTAGTGCGGTCAACTTTGACAACGGCAATAAAATCATTCGTTTCAGGTGAAAAGTGCATTTCATGAGCAGTTGCTATATACAATATAATAAAAGGTAGTGAGTATATGTAGTACGTTAATAAGTGTTTAATCCAATTTGTACCTTGCCAGTTATCAAAATCACCAGTAACGAAAACTCGGTTGCCACCATGTTGCCAATGGAACTACATATTAAAAATAAATACCATGAGCCCAACATTTTTAATTTAACTAATTAACTAATTAATTATGAACAATCATATTTACTTACTTCAATAGGCACTATATCTGACTCATTTGTTCTAAATAAATTCTTTTTTTCTTCAATAGTAGTAGTAATGTCGTCTTTAAGGACTTTCTCTGTTACTTTAATATCTCGTGTAATTGGTTCACTTGAAAAGGATGTTTCGCTATCCGGTTTCAATTCAGAGAGTGTTCCAGTGATAATAATATTCTCTGGTTTAGGCTCTGAGGTGAGGTGCGTCATAGTTGGGGCGGAATCATTAGCTTCTGGAATTGCACTGTTCTCTTGCAATTTCTTTGATTTAATATTTTTTTTAGCATGGTTCTCATGGGTGGATACTTTTTTTACGGTTACTCCTCTATCTGGAATTCTAAATCCTTTTCCTTCAACAAGAGATACCAGGCATAATAAAGTAGCTAAAATTAACTCCAAGGTCAAAGTGAAAAGCTTATCTGCCCAGAAGATTGGTGACAAATTTTTTGTAAGAACCATTTTAATTAAAGTCCTTTTTAGAGAAGTTACAAAGTATAAAAAGGATGGCAATTAAATGACGTTTTTTTTTTTGTCCACTGCAGGGATAATTATTAAAAGTTGGAGTATTATCTTGGTCGCGGAGCCAAGGGAAATTTATATTTAAATATACATTAAGAAACCTGTTTATATCAGTAGTTTATCATGATGTCTCCATTCATTGCCCAAAAGAAAACCCCGCACAAAATTATAAATTAAAATACTAATTGAAAACAAGCAAAAATGTTTACTATTTCAGATAGATGCATCTTGACAACTTGAGATATTTTGATAACGAAACGAATCGGGAGTACGATAAAACAGATAGGCTGCTTCTTGTTGAGATACACATTATTCTTTTAGGCCTTTGATCTTAATTAATATTACTATTTTGGTTTACAAGCAATCAAAAAGGTAATTATATTTTAAGCCATCGATCCAAACCAGGTCTGATGCAGAAGAATCGACTTCTGATATACATATAAGTACAAAGTTTTCCAAATTTTGTCGATTTTGAAATTTATAATGCAAGATTTACTAAAATGAAACCGGAAAAGACTAAAATCAACATTGCATTAAATCAATTGCTAATTCAATCTCTACATACTCAGAGATGGTACGTAGCGTCATTTCAGTGGATCATTCTTTATAATAATTCACTTAAATTATGAATCATTCTGACTTCAACAAATTTTTCTGAAAATCCAAAAATAAATCTCGTGTTCTTAACACATAAAATTACCTATCGCTATATATATTTAGATTTTAATGATGCGCAAATTATTTTTTTTGAATTACCGGTTTTTTTTTAATTCATGATAATCCTGCAAAGGTATTGGTTCATTGACCCTTAAAACCTGTGTTGCTGCGAGGTAGATCAAATATAAAAAAAACAAAAAGTGTGAATCAATTGTCAGGGTAACTTATTTATATATTTTAAAATAAGCGCTTTTTGAAAATGTAACTTTTCACATAAAAAAATATCGCTTGTCGTTATAGCTTTCAACGAAATGTCAAGTTAGTGTTTCAAACATCTGATTCGGATAATCGAATAAGTCGACTCATTCAAATTGATTTATTTAAGTTGCTATATAACGTTAGTTACAAGTAATAAATTGTCAAGGAAATGCAAGTAATCGGGCATCCGGGTCACCCGATTATTAATACCCTAGCTCATACAGTGGATGCCTATGGC